CTCATTCCCCTCCAATAGAATGTTTTTTTCTGCCACTGGATATTTCATCACACCTGAAAGACACTACTTTTATTATTACTAAATGGGTCTTAAAACCACTTGAAATACCTTGTTTGCATTYCCCAGTATGAGAAAGCTGTGTGCTTGGGCACAAACTGTATATCAAGACTATGTTTTGCCTCCAAAGTTGATGTCTGATAAACAGGCGAAAGTTTGCTCACGTCATCAAGCACTCGTTTTTTAAGCAGAAGTTCCTCTAGCTTAACTGCAGCAGTTGAACCTGTGTGATTTAAAGTTACATCTGATTTCAAATAACAGGATTTGCTGCCATATCCATTTTTTTAAAAAACTGGTGTTTCGATACTGTATTTATGTACAACTGTACAAAGATGCTTTCAATTTGTACATTTGTCCAACCATAGTCTATCATTGCTCTCTCCACAAAGTTGTCCATGGCCACATTCAGGGTATAGAGCATTTCCCCCTCTGTGTATACCCTGAATGTGTAATGGTAAGATCTCCCACTTTGCTTTGATAAGATTTCCATCACCATCAGGTGTTGAGGCTGCACACCAATACTATACAATACACACCAATACAAAAGGAGATTTCCTACAGGCATTGTCCGTATAAATCTCTGGTTTGTCCACACCTTTTCATGCTTGCAGTGTGGGTCTCTACACCGTTGGATAATCTTTATGTAGGTGCCTTGCTCATCTGAAATTGTTCCTTGGGATGCGCTATTGCAAACGGGGCACCATTGGAATAGTTCTCGCAGAGCACTTTCAAATACTATGTACTTCCTTTCGTTATGGTATTGTAGAGGGCTATAGGGGAAAAAACAAAACACATTATCGATGTAGCTTACTATATACAAAGTACTGGTGACACACCCTACATATAAACTTACCCTTTCAATCCTTTCTTTTTCTTGAATGTTTTATCTTTGCAATCCTTGTCTGAAAAATCCATATCTTCCTCTGAATACGATGTTGACTGAGGAGAGTACAAGTCCTCTGAAAAATCATCATCTGTTTCGTAAGACTCGATTCTGGGCATGGGCAACCCTATCGGGGGAAGATCAGYAAGGTTACACTGCACACCAATCTCYTGTTGCTCAATAGATGTTTGGTCACCTGGAAACGCAGAAYYATTTAGATATTCAGTGTCATTATTTYATAAGTGGCCTATAGATAGYTTCTGTCWTGAAACGCATTTCAGTAACAATTATGATTACTTACCCCTACTTCTTCTTTCAGGTCTCCTAAAACTTTTTTGCGTGGCCTTGTTTGCTGTTAACGGGAATAGTCTTTTGTTTTCCGATTCCACAGAGCTTGCCAGGCTGAGAGAATCAGCTGATTGCAGCGTATCATCAGTGCCAACGCTCTCTGCTCTTTGACTTTCACTCTCAGGTATAAACTCGATCTGCTTCATGGTCTACGACAAGGGCGAAAAACCAAAATCATAATTTCAAGGATTTTTTTCATTTTTAACGTATTACGCTATTCAAAATCACAAAATTACTTCTATATGAAACTTACCCGCTGGGCGCTAAGTTTAGTGAGAGCATTTCCCCTTCTTGAAGTTCGCGGCGTACCTTCGGTGTCTTTCSAAGTAACAGGCGATGGYGTACTGAGAGAAATTTTTCGAGCCTTCTRAAGTTGCTCGGGGGTCGGGTTTGGCTGAATCGACGGAACAGCTCMTTTTTTWAAAACAAGTTTGCTAGAAAAGCCTGCCAGTTTCGCCCCATAACTCTCATAATCGCTTTGCAAGAAGTGATCACTGCAGACGTGACCCGTTCCTGGTGACCACCCTTTTCCKTCCCGCTTCATCAGAACGAACTTATTCCATTTCTGGCATAAGATATTATCCCTCGGAAATTGGCGCAAGCTCAGACCGTCTTCATTGGTTTTGTCGCAAAACATGACAACACAACGTTTGCCAGGTTTGCGTTTACGCTTCTGACCTACTACAGGGTTCAATGAGGTCGCCATTTTACTACTACTTAACAGCGAGAATTTGTGTCTTAAAATGACCAACAAGACAAATAACTTTCGTATTGGGCAAGTTTTATTTGTACGCTTTCGCAACATATATTTGAAGCATAGATATTAAGCAATACTTCTTATCTTTCCCCGATTCTACTGCAGCATTATGTACCTAAATTTTATCGCTTTGGATCCACTTACACACGTGTGACGTCACCAAGTGCGTGACTTATTTTCAGCTTGTTTTCAGTCACGACAGAAAATATTGCTCTTTTTTTCTTTGTCCCGTTTTCGTTGCAGCATTCTTTCCACAGGACTATCGTTATTACTACCAATTCCCTTTTCTTCAGAAGTTCTAGAAGCTGTTTGTTTTTCTGTAAGTGTGAACAATTCCCTTTTCGAAGTACTAGCTCCATTGTTTGATATGGCACTTGTAGATTCACGACGTCTCACGATAATTTCTGGTGTGGATTGTGGTTGCCATTCAATCTTGATAGTTAATCTTCTAAAAGTAGCTCCTTGCACGATACTAGCACATCGTAAAGCATCACAAAGTGTATCTCAAGCACGCAGGTTTACAAAAGTCTGCTCGTCGTCCCTGTATTTTATCCTGAGCTCTGTGTCAGGAATGAATTCCAAACAGGCAATTTTAGCTCTCACGGCTTTCATTAGATCTTCAAATGATGAAAGTTGTGATTCTTCGATGGACATTATTTCGCATCGGTCTTCTTGAAATGAAATGTTATAAAAAACTTTAAGTTGAATCATATTGTGGGCACCRAAATACKTATAAGTATTCTAAAATCAAGAAAATAGACAGTAGCTCTCGAAGTCGTGGATACCTCACAAGATGTCGGCACGCTTATGGGTTTCCCGCCTTTGGACACATGACGCGGCAACCTTGAAACGTTGCCCCTGGTAGCATCATAGTATAGACGTCAAAACTACGTGACAAAACTTCGGTCACGCCAAACTTAACTGCAAAGCGTAGTAAAAAGTCAACTACATCGCTGCAAGAAAACCAAACAAAAAAATAAGGATGGAAAATCTGAAATTTGAAATCGGTTAGTACAAATTAAACACAAACGTTTCCCCCCCTACGTCATGTCTCCCATGTAATCTCTCTCTCACTACATCTTCTCTCAATTCGTAAAAATAAAAAAGTAGAGCTCAAAGAAAGTATTCCTGAACCAGTGTGCTCTGCCTTGGATAAAGAGTCACATTCTGGTGCTATCAGCAAGCATAAGAAGAGAAGGTCAATGGAAATTACAATAGTACCACCTACATGTACAGGTATTTATAGCTACTCTAGGCACTAGTTTCTTATTGAGGGAACAAAATTGATAGAATCACAACAATTTTGTTTTTCTTTAGAACAAGAATTACAGCAAGGATCAGGCAGGGGATCAAATAAAAGAAAAGCACCTACGTGCCTAACATGTGGAGCCCCCAGAAAGGGACATAAGAGAGGTCAGTGCCAAACTGACTAGTAGTTTACTCTCTGAAGTTTATTCTTAGTTTTTACTATGTTGTAAGCAATAGCTATCATACTATACCTCTGAATCGTTCTGTTCATCTTCATCTTCTTCTTCTTCTTTGAAGCCTTTATATTCTCCATCTTCAGAGGGAAATCGAGCTCTAATAGCGTTGTACGCATAGTATGGTAGGGGAAGCCGCTTTGAATTTCCAAGATATTCCCAAACCAGTCGGGTGAACTGCCGATATGGTACGGATCTCAGAAACCTATGTGAATATTATATTTTTTTAAGCATTAAAGAGTAAATCAATCGATTACCGGAGACGTGTACGAAATAATAAATAAATAAACACAAAATGGACTTGATTAGCACTTACTGAGACTTAGTAGCACGTCCTTGTTCATAAAAGGAAGCATAACGCTGGTTCTTGCGCGTTCTCAACCCTACAGCAGCGACTTCCAGTACCCACTCATCGAGGCAGCCAGAACTAAAGCCAGGTTGAGCGGTGATACACGAAGGAGGCTCTCCAGGACCTTCTTCGACCAAATGATTCAGTTTCTCTTGGCATCGGTCAATATCGGCGCAGCAAAACACTCCTCCGGTTCTGTGACGAGGTCCAAGCAACAACGAGTACACTTGCACCTACAATGGCAATAGAAACTAAGTTAGTAAGTTTTGAGAATGTAGAATACTATAAATTGCTATCTACAATATGGAAACTTTCTGACATACCATGAGCGAACTTCCACCTCTTCTTCAAAGCGTTTGTTCAACATAATAAGTTGCTCTTCTTCTTCGGCTACTTCACGTTGATATTTCAGGCTTTCTTCTTGAGTAGCCACCGGCTCAAAGTCTTCAGCACCAGTGGAAGTAAATAATTCTTCTAGGTCTGAGCCAGAACTCTCAGAAACGTTGGCAGAACTCGAAGAATAGCTCTCATCCTGTTATCTACTAAATTTTACTAGTTTAGAAGACGCTTGTTGAGTAAATGACGTCACAAGAAGAAACCGCTGACGCAAATTTGCGGGCTCGGCAGGCGACAACGAAGCAATGGCGACCAGCGATTTTTCATGAGTTTTAAGTCGAAAATTTAACCGTTTTCTTTCTAAATCGACGAAATTTCCGTGAAATAAGAAAAATCAGGTTATATATCACCACCTGGGTTGAAGAAATTGGCGTTTAAAATTGACCAATTTTCGTACTAGTCCCCCTTTAACTACAAAGCTATCCGTATTCACTTATCTGATCTTGAAGAAACTCAAGCCATAGTCATAGCGATAGCATTGCAGTCAAGCGTTTGACATTCGAAGCCGGAATCCTGCGAAATGTTTGAGAAAATATATCCAGAGCGAGAAATTCACAGCTACAAGAAGCATGAGATAAGGGCAACGGTTTTTGCACGTGTTCACGTAAAAATTCACGCCATCCCAATAGGAACTATAGAAACCCATAGAGGACCAGGCCGTGGGAGCATGATAGCAGGTGAAACTGCCTTTTGCTTTATGCATTTTCTTTTTTTTTTCTTTTTTCGCCTTCATTTGTTCATTGGTTAATGCAGTATTTACCATTTTGTTGATACCACTCAGTCAGTACTACAAATCATAATATTTGCGGGAAAAAAGTTTTGCCACTCCAACAATGGGTAATAATCATGGTATATTAATTGATAATTTATGACTAATATTTATGACTTACCACATTATTACATGTATATTACAGGCAAAAGTACACACAATCAGCGTATAGAGAGGCTATGGAGAGACGTGTACCAAGGATGCTTGTCCCTATTCTATGAGCTATTTCATTTTCTTGAGAGCTCAAATTTGTTGGATCCTGTAAATCCTTTGCACCTTTGGTGCTTGCACTATGCTTATCTGCCTATTATCAATAGTCATCTTACTAACTGGAAAAATGCATGGTCCCATCATCCTCTGCGTACTGAAAAAAACCTAAGCCCCATTCAGCTGTGGATACGTGGCATTCATCTAAGTGATGGAAGGTACATTGGACATTGTTAAGGTACAGTACATTTTTTGACTCATATCTTAATTTATTATCTCATTTATTATGCTTATTATGCTTCAATGCCTCTTACTGTTTGCTAAATGCTGGTTTTTGAGGGTGGCATACATCACACCCAGCAGGACTAAAAACAAAACTTGTATAAGGACAGATACGCTCATTGTAGCCTACGGCAATCAAGCACTCAAATTCTTGTTTTAAGTTAATTGTAATGTTAACTTCCATTGTTCATGAGTAGACTTATTTGCAATATTTTTCATTGGATTGGACTTCATTTAGTTGATTAACATCATGGTATGGGCAAAGAAATATATGCAGATGGTTGTCGAGTGTAGAATGATGCAGCCTCTAGTATGTCTAAAAAACACTTCAACCAGAATATCACGAAAAATTATCCAGCGGTTACTTGTCCTTTAAAGATTATTCTGATCTTGCAAAATTTTTAGTCCAGCTAAATTTCATTTGGATTGGTTTTCAAACAGGTGGCTTACAGTACCAGAGGGGAATGTAGGCTCCTGAATTCTTGGTTTGCACATGACGCCATCAAAAAGTTAAAATCCAAACCATTCATTTTACAAAGAAAATTTTAAAATATGTTTTAGGAATCAACGATTTAAGTCACGGGAAAACGTTTTCAGTCATTTTGATGTTTGGTTGCCGAGTTATGAAGGTTGAATTGGTGTCACGCAATGATGTCACGTTGATCTAAATATCGATGGAAATTCAAAATAATTTACCCAATTTGAAAGTTTTTCGCATTAAACTCGTTTAGAATATCAATTCCGAGGATATTGAAGTGAAATATAATGGAAGTTTTTGAATATTCTATCATTCTATGCCTTTGAAGTTTTGTCCGCCATCTTCGTGTACCAGAGTGGAACACCAAGATGGCGGCTCCATACATTTTTACTAAAAACCGTGTTATCTTTGCTCGCCCATAATTCCGCTACCAAATGCTCTACAGTCTTGAAACTTTGCCAGTATATGTAGTTTTGAACGCTTTATAAGAATATGAAACTAATTTTTTTCTACAATGCGAAATATCGCTTTTAAAATTTGTGATGACGTAGGTGCAAACCACCAATAGAGGATTGCCTATCATTTGGCAGGCAAAACATTGACTGAGAGTAAAAGAAAAATCAAACAAGGAAAATACTATTGAAAATTTGAATGAAGTCTACTACTCGTAAATTAGTACAAATGGCTTTACTACAGTATGCTGTTAGGGTTGTAAGAATATTTACTTACAAATTTGGGCTGTATTCTTAGGAGGTATACTGTAGTACAATATAATATTCAGACTTGTTTCCTCATTCGCCAGCAGCATTGGGCCTCATTCTTGTTCTGACTCTACACACAAAGTTTGATAATTTTCATAGTCATTGCTTGTGTGGTCTCAAAATTATAGGCCCATGAAAGTTATGGAATTGACTGGCAAGGTCCTTCTGTAGTTGAAGAAGAAGAAATTGTTGGGGTTCCTGAAACTCCTTGCTGTTTGAATGATGAGCAATTAGCATCAATAGAGGCTACCAGACTGGTCAGTAATAGTGATCCATATGGTATAGATTTATACAGTAKAATCTTAAGTGAAGCAGAAAGATTAATACAGTGACTGTGATTAAATAATGCATACTGGGTTGCAGAAATTTGTTTAATCACAAATAATATATTAGCATAGATAGGTATTGAATATAAAGAAGRTGGCTCATTTCCTTGAATTTTCTGTATAATGMCTCAAGGTTTTGACTATTTTAATCTTTTTCCTAGGCTCAGTTCAGACGTCGAATTTTTGTCTTGTTGAATATTATTGCCTTTGAGGCCATTGGCCAAGACAAAGCAAACAACTACCATGGAAGACATCAACTCTTTTGCTAAGTGCCAG